TAGCTTACGACAATTTTTAGATATTCGCACGTGACACTAATTCATATCTAAGTACTTCTCTGGAATTAAGTTCTAACTCCAGTAAACTAACATAAAATCGCACCCTCTAACGACTCTGATAAGATCTTCCAAGATCCTAACGAAGGCCGGAATATTGACGAGCTAACTTTTATCCGCTTCTCATTAGTAAAATCCTCATTAAAAAACGACTGAGGAATTTGAAGAAGAAAAAATTTGCATCGAGATCATTTTTATGAAAGTTTCAACCTGAATAAACAACCAAACGTTCGTTAATTGAAGCTCCCGAATTTTCATAACATATACATCGGCCCCAACTTCATCGACTTATGCAACTATCTGGGATTCTAGATATTCGATATCTTTCATTGCCAAAAATTTGTTTGTTTACATAATTCTTTTTCTTTAGAAGAAATTCGATATTGATAAGCAGTCGAACAAATTTGCATTCGACAATGATTACACATTCAATGCTGACTGCTATTTGGAGACATGAAACTTTCCAATGTAATGATTTTATGAACTATATGATGTAATGTAAAGTTGGTATAAAAAATGGACATCAATCCAGAAATTGTGATTGACACTCACAGATTAACCCAGCTCTGAATGGGCAGTTATGTATATATAACATGCAGTTTATCAGTCAATAACAGGTTATCACTGCCGATACATCTGCTGCGACATGTAAGTCCGAGTGGGAGAAAAACCGGCCATGCACTGTGTGACAGGTTAAATTGGCAGCTGGTTGAGCTGACTTTGCGCAGGAGATCCAGTCCTTCAAAGTCATTCGAGCTAACAATTCAGACACAAATTTTAATTTGGCTTAAGAACCGTGTCTAGTACGCTATTCAACAACATATCACGTACTTCAAAATATAACAGCTACATCCTGTAGATTGCTTAAACATATTGCATATGCATTGACCTATTGTGACATATATAGGATATGCATTGTTCATGTGCGCTCGATGAACTCTTTGTGTAGCCAACACCATACCTCACGCATAATACCGTATTTCAAATCAATAGAATAATGAATAAAATTTCATCCACCAGGGATTCAGTGAAATCACCAATTCCCCCCAACCACGAAACCAGAATTTCAATTTAAAAATTATCGTTTCGTTGCTCACTTCTTTTAAGCCACACCAGTTCACGCCCATTTCGATAAACATAACCTTTAGTTTGTACCCATTTGTTCATGCGCTGGACTTCTCCTGCATCTTCTCAGAGAGACTTTTCACCAAGGACATATTTTTTTTTTTCAGCTTCCCCTGGCCTTCCCCTCACTCGGCCACTGTATAACACGAGCAATAATAAATTCTATTCGCGAATAGTTCATACCGGACGCCCCTTGGCTTATGAAGGCATGCAATGTATTCCTCCCCTGTGTATCGAAGGCATATCATCCATGAGCTGCGAACCAATAAAGTTGGTAGCTGTTAATTTGCTATAAATGACGATTTCTAGAAGTTTGCAAATTTTAGCTTCATGGGTAATTCATAAAGAAACGTAGATTAAGATCGAAAGAGGCTCTAATCATACCGCTGCTACTTTGTGTTTCTTTGTGCTTTTTTGCTGTATCATTGTGTTTCTTTGTGGAATGTTATTATTTAAAATCAATTTAAAAATATTATGGGGTTCAGGAGTTCGAATGAGGGACTAATATTGATAGGAATTGAAGAGCTGGAATCATGTTGATCGGATGTGTCTCCAACCGAAGCAATGACTTTTTCTTATCCACAATCATATTCAATTACGACGTGTCGATACAATTTATTTCTTCTCTTACCCTTGTAGAAGCGAGGAAAATAAGAGGATCAATAATTTTTGTGAATGAATTCTGGCTTCATAACCAAAGGTTTGGCGGAAGTGTATATAATTTCAACGGCGCCTGTGGAGCTTTTCTCACCTGCGCGGGCTAACTTCAGCCGGGCTTTTTATGCGGCGCGGAAGTTGAGTCTTGAGAAAGTTAAAGTTGCGGATATAAAGATTGACTTCTAACACAAAGCTCTTGGGAAACGCATTCATTTCAAAAGTGGGTGTGTTAGAAAGCATATACACGCCCCAAGTGAATCCTTAAAAGCCCTGCTCAACCAAGCTTCTCAAATGGAAATCGGGCATTCACACAGAGATTTGCTGATGAAGTAAATACATCCTGTGACATCGATAAAAGGCTTTATAGTTCACCACTGCAATGCGACAATTTTTTTGCTGGAATTCTAATATAAAGTTTAAATCCAGAATATTTAGACGAAAGACAATCGACTGACTATGTTGCTACATTGAGTAAATGGAACATAGAAACATTTACGTTTGGATCCTCTCAAAAACTATTAGCATGAAGTTAATTAGGCATAGTCTAAAAAACTTTTTTCTTTCGAATGAGAAATTTTCAACCCAATGGCATATTATAGTCTGTTTCGAGCAAATTAAATAATTAGTGTGCAGTATAACAATGGAAAATACGGGTATATATTTTTCTCACATCGACGCTAAAGTAAAGAATCTCCGTTTACGCAATGGCTTCGGATGCCATTCTCGCGTATTCAGAATTTTAATGTCATTTTAGTTGCTCATTGCGAGTGGCGAGAGACTCAGCGATTGGATATTCCATTGTTGAAAAGCACTTAACCAGTAGTTAAAGTTCAGAGTACCAAGGTTGGAGCAGAGAGGTGTGAGTTCGGTCCCAGCTCTGTCCTCTAGTTTTTGGTCATAATCGGCAAGGAGGCCGGGCGGTTAAACAAAAACAATTTGAAGCAGTAAGTTGTGAGTTCAAGCCCGCAACAAGCTGTGGATGTTCTGCATTGTTAAGAATCCGCGATAGGCCTACGGCCTAACAAACGCTGGGACAGCTTTATTATATAATTATAAAATAATTGTATAGGGCGCGAACCAAAGCTAAATAATAATTGACTTATTATTACACATTATTATTGTTATATACAACAAGAACATTATTTTACTTCGATAGTAATGAAAAACTAACTTTGATAGGTAAGGTTGCATTCATCAAACAGGCCTAATAAACCAAATTTTAGAATTGTTTTTCGAATTGTTTCCAATTTATTCCAGCTTATTCATTTAGAATTTTTTTCAATGACAAATATCGCATGCCACTGATCACTAATGATTATTTACTGAATTTTGTGCACACAGGAAACCGCTCAATCAACCTGTTTTTAAATACATTATTTCTTTGCTATTCAAACACTTTTTTGTAACGTCTGTACAAAAAAAATTCATTATAACAACCAAATGAATCCCGAATAATTTAATGAACTCCCTTTAGACACATATAAATTTTGCCAAAAAACTAGTCGGGTTCAAAATCCGAGCGAGATGAGGTAAACGTGCTTTTAAGTGTTTTTTTTTATGAAGAATCAGATGATACCTATTTGCAATCGCCGCTCCTCAAAATGAGGCAAACTAAAGTGGTAATGATACGTCGCACGTCAAGGGCGATTACCCTGCAAGAGATGCCTACTACATTTTAGAAGTTCCTGATGGATTTCAACCTTCAAAGTAAGGCTGATTAGTCCATCGTAGAACTATCAAAGATTTTGTGAATGAAACCTAATTTTCCAATAAAAACGAATCTATGGCACGATGGTTTTGATGTGCTTGCTCTAAGAATATCATCAAAGTCTCGGAGGGGACTTCAGATTCCTCGTGAACTTCTAAAATGGGTATGACTCTAAAATCGGGTATGACTGTACGACTATAAAATTCTTAGGAAAATTTTAGTATTGTAAATTTCGTCAAAATAAAAAATGAGAATAATAGTTGAAAATGAATTTTAGAAGAAAATGGCTTCACACTCAACTCTGATAGACAAAATATGTTGGCTAAGAGGCTGTTATATGGGATGAATATGCATGAAATCTTAATAAGAAACCCAACCGATAAGCCACCAGACAACAATTTAAATCTTATTGCCAGAGTCTTGAAACCTGACGAGTTTTAGCTGGCATTGTCCATGTTAGGCTTTGCAGGGGCAGAATATGGCACCTCGTTTGAAGTGCCATAATGAAGTCTGTCTTAGAAAACCATATTCTTGAACATTGCGCGATTTTGTGAAATTGCTTTATCTTGAGCTTCGAATAACTCCGTATGGACGTGAGGCGAGTGGTGAAGAACCTAGTCCTCAGAATGTGGACAAAAGAAGAAGAGCTTCGAATATGAATGTACAAATGCTCCCTGAGAAAATTTTAATTTTCAGTTAACCACGAGATACATTAATAGTACGTCGAAAGTACATTAAATTTGACATAAGAAGGAAGAATTTATTGCCTCGAAAAAAATGTTCTGAATATGTTAAGAGAGCTTGAATTCGAATTAGTTGATTCTTTAGCTTTAAAGGTTAATAGGTCTAATTAAACGCACTCGAGACACGTTGCCGCGAGCGAGGGACACCTAAGTGGTTGGTAGTTACTTCGGGCGTGTGAACAGGTCTGTACATTGACACTAACTATGTGTCGTACATATCGTTGGTTTTATCTCCTATAGGTACGCCATTAATTGATAGCAATCGGAACCATGGGAGACTCAATCTAGAATGCCCTACTGTCGTGGATGTTCTATTTCCAAAATTGTCAGCAAGCGAAATTTTTCATTGTGATATGCAAAATATCGTACTTGTCTGTTATAAGTTGGTATTGTCGTTTCAGTTTACAAGTTGCCAGTAAAGCAACGAAAATTATGAACTACTTTCTTGAAACTACAGTTATCAGCCTAAAATAGTGTTAGTAATATACGGATTGCTCAAAACACGTTTGAATATCGTTGCATGCGTTGATAGTAGTAATTATTCGTGATAGTTCATTGGAAAAGAAGATACGTGCCTTGGTTTATTGATTCATTTGAGTTCTGCATTCAAAACTAGGACAAATAGAGATGTTCCAATTTATTCATTTTTAAGACTGACATTTCATTATTTAAAGAACGAGGCACAGAGTCTAAGAGTGGAACATATTAACAGCGCGTACCAATTGAATCCGTCCCCTCTATAGTATATTTTTTAAATTTTTTAGCGTTTATTTAGACTTTGGGGAATGAACTGAAATAATTCAGAGCGAAACAATTTTCAACTGAGTAAAAGATTTCTTCATGAGATATCAAAGTGCAGTGAAGATGTACAAAACTGTAGGGATTATTGTTTACGACACCGCTTCTGATAATATCATAGCACAAATACTTGCACTATTTCCAGCGACACAGCTCTGGAATAAGGGCACGGTAGATGACAGCTGGACGTCACCTCGAACCTAATTCTTTTATGACTATATAATCATTAGAGGAACTTCATTTCTAGTATTATAGGGTTAAATAATCTATCATAAGATCATGAGTAATGTTTTGTCACCAATCATCTAAGCATTTTTGCAAAGAGTGGCAGTGCACCCTAAAATACCGAGAGTGCGATTTCTGAGACGAACTGTGCCAGCGATGCTTTTTATGTAGGATGTGAGCACAACCGTTGAGGTGGTGAGATGCCAGTAGGTCAGGAAACCACGGAAGGATTCGGCAGCGACTCCTTCATCAGAACGGCTCGAGTCCAGCAAGGAACTTGCAATCTCTGCGTCTCCATTGTCATTACCCAGTGTCGGTAGAGCACGACGAGCCTCAAAGTCATGGCGCTTGCGACGTCTCGCACACTGACCGATCCGTGTAACTAGGGAATAGCAACTCATATTACAACAATCATTTCATGAAGCAAAATATCGTCTATCACCCTAGTGACTATAGTCTCATCACCCAACAAATATTCTCTCATAGGCTGCCATCATCAAGTTCAAAGTACGCAAATTATGACAAATCCATATATAATTTCGAATATAGACCAGTGGACCGACGGCCAGAGGTCAGCTGGCCGAAAGCACGCAGGTATGGCGGTCAGTCGGGTGGCCATTTGAGATCTCCAGTGGGGGTGAGAAGCTGATCTTGTGTGCCCGCCGCACTATAGCTAGGTGTTCTTCGGGACACGTTCTCATAAAAGACAAAGCAATTCATCGAGCAACGAGGACAGCCGACTACGAGGTGAATCTTATCCTGAGTGATGCTATCATCCCCAGCAACCCAATTTTTCTCTCTTTCCTATGTCATGTAGCAACCCAATTTTTCTCTGCATGTAGTTGAAGTAATGAGGGGTCAGTAAAGTAGTGAGGAAGGTCGATGATACAGAACCGTGCCGAGACTAAATCAGAAATGTCAGGACCAAAAAGTGAAGTTATAAGAGCGCTGTTCTCATTACCACGTGCGCACGCCGTGAGCTCTAACGAGATTATTCCACCTGCATGGAAGCTACCTTATAGTGCCGTATCAGTCGTGTTATATCACTGAGACCGGCGATGTACTCCTTTGTTTATTTAGATGTAACTTTCTTTTTAATCTAAGGAAAAGTTTTGCATCTTTTTGGAACTGAAGGTTTTCACGTACCTAACGAATAGATCAGATCGCCCCAGCCAGCAACCTGACATGTAAGTAAAGGGGCAACTGGAAAGGCTAAAAGGGAAATCCATCGTCTCAAGATGATTGATTGTTAAATTATCTTTAAAAGATAAAGTAGATTCATTGATCCGTAATCACTTCATTTATATGAAATTTTCACTCCATACTACTGTAGTTAAACATAGATATGGTAGAAACCGTCGCATGCATTCCGAACATTTTCCTCAGTGGACAAAGAAAATTTGATATTATCCGGAAGCAACCTGTATAGCTTTGTAGATGAGGATACCTCCACATGGAGGATACCATTGAACCACATTGAACCAACATTTAATCACATAAGCATTCTTCGCCGTATTTTGATTGGATATAAGAATTAAGATGGCTTAATTTCTTAAATTGCAAGTTTATCAAGAAAGAAAACAGGCAAAAAATTCACCATTTCTTATGCGAAAAAACGTTTCTGAGTCTAGTTCCATCGTCAGTTCAAAAACCTAAAACACAACTACAAACAATTAGCAAACCCTAATTCACATTGAAGATATTAAAACATGAATTGTTAAATTAAAACAAACATATATGAGGTAAACATGCCTGAGCAGGCAAATCTATTTATTTACTATTTCGAGGGGACATGAACAGGAGGTGGCATTTAGACATAGGCTTTTGTATGAAAACATACAGGGACTCTAAAATTCGTAGGTCAGAAAAACCGGTTGTTGGGGCTCTCAGAACACCCAACTAGCCTACAGGATCGTATAGGTTCTGGATATTAACGAGTACTTATTAAACACTTTATTACACTTTCAATAAACACAACAAATAATATAGAATAACTTCGGCACATTAACACTTCAACACTTCATCTTGGATGCATGGCTTTCGAGACTAACTCTTGACTCTGAGATTTGAGATTTGAGGCTTTCCTACAAAAGAAACAAATACAACAGATAAATAATAGTTACCTAAACATTAAAGTATTCATACATATATAACCTAAGTATTTACACAATTTGTTCACATCAATCTATTCACGTACATATATATTTACATGTCCACATCCTAACGCAGCACATACCTCCGCTCCGGCTTTCCACAACAGAATAATCTTATCACCTTCTCCTTCCGCACTTATAGCCTTCCGTAAACTCTAAACTAAAATGACAAATTAAAAATAATAAACCATTTTGGAACAAAAATTATCGCCTCGCATAACATTAAAATACCCAACTATTTCTATCCTTTACACGGTTGTGGAAGCTAAAACTCTAATATCACTACCGGATACCGGGACGTAGCACTACTCGGCATGAACGCGTACTCCTGAATGAGAGGAATGCGCAAGCAGGTTGCATGTTCTATATAGTTGTGCGCATCTGCGTATGTCGGTATGACATCACGCATTCTTTATACTAGGCTGGCAGAGCATAAAAGAAGGAGTTTTAGAACAGGAAACCTGCTTACGCATCCCCCTTCTTCAGCAGTGCTCGTTCATACCGCGCAGTGCAACGTCCCGGTGTCCGATGGTGATATTAGAATTTTAGCCTCCACAACCGGTTTTTCTGACCTGCTAATTTTAGAATCTCTGTAAGTTTAGTCTAAATGCCGCCTACAAATCATATCCCTTCGAAATAGTAAATAAATAGCTAAAATAGGTTTGTCTGCTCATGTTTACTCATTCTTTTTTGTTTTTATTTAACAATAATTATTTATATGTTTTAATATCTTTAATGTGAATTTTATTCTACTAATTGATTGTACTTGCGTTTTAGGTTTTTGAACTGGCGATCGAGCTGAACTCGCATAAGTAATGGTAAAGTTTATGCCCGTTTTCTTTGCTTTCAATTTCTTGATAAGCATTCCTGTCGTATAGGTGGTGACAGAAAGGATATGCGTTGATATACTTATTGAACGCACTTTCTAATGAAGAATTAGAGACCCGAAAAAAAGTATTAGTGATGGCGAACAGTGTAACTGAAAGTACTCACTGACAATGCAGGTCTGAGTGGTGGTGACGGTGGACAGATCGAGAATTCTGGTAGTCGTTTGTTCCCCAAAGCCAAAAAATCGAGCATCTGGAAAGTTAACATAACATAACATAGTCATTTCGGCGCTGAAGAGTAGGCCTGATGCGGCCTGTCGCCGATTCCTGAACTTTTCGTGACTTGTTCACTGAAGATCTAAAATCGTGTAATTTGACCGGATCTTTTCAAGACTCACAATGGTTGGAAATAACTACTAGACTTCCCCCAGGATCGATATGGCGCTAGGCATTTCAAGTCTGAACATATTTTTCCATAGCTTTATCTAGTCATGTTCTTGAACGCGTTCATACTCGGAGCGCCAACGATATAATCAGGGAGGCTGTTCCACATGTCGGTGAATCGAAGCGAGAAGAAATGTTGTCGCGTGGATAAGTTGCAGCGCAGTTTTTAACACGTTTTTCTTTACTCAGCTTCGCGTTTGTTTGTTTGTTTGTTTGTTGTTAACATTGACAACGAAAATTAGCCCACTTCCGATTGCTCTAGAGATCTGAAATTCGGCATGCAGGCTATTTTCGCATAACAATTTCAGATACAATCATAAAAACTAGCAATTAGAGACCTAAATTAGCTTAATTGAGTAAAAAAAAAATATATATATATATAGTACATATATAGTATGACGTGCGGGCGCTGACGTTATAGACGAGCAGGCGCCGACGCTGCGTATCAACGTACGTCAAGTCAAGTAAATTGGCTCGCAACAACGTTTTTCATGTGTAGCAACGGACTAAAAAGGAGAAAATAAAATAATAAAAAAAAAAAACTTAAAAAAAACACGTTTTTCTCGTGGACTAAAAAGTAAAAAATAAATTATGGCTCGCCCCAAAAAACGTGGGTCGGGCTGTACGTTAACCATCAAATTTCCAAAATTCGTGTGTTGTGTGCTTTTCGCTTTAATCAAAAATCTGCCCGACACACGTTTTTTTGAGGCGAATCATAATTTATTTTCTACTTTTTAGTCCACACGAAAAACGTGGTTTTTTAAAAAGTTTTTTTTAAGTATTTTATTTTATTTTTATTTCAAAATCGTTCAGATTTGTTAGTTATTGAATTGTTTACGATCATTTTCTTTTCCCACTTTTTTCGTCAACCTAATGATTTTATCTCGTTTAAATTTAGCACACTTCAGTAATTTAAGTGCGTTCAGTTGACATTCAAGCTCTACTTGTTATATATTCATTAGATCTGTACTAACTTACTCGCATTTTACATCCTTAGTCCTCGCATGAACCCAAAAAACGTGGGTCGGGCTGTACGTTAACCATCAAATTTCCAAAATTCGTGTGTTGTGTGCTTTTCGCTTTAATCATAAATCTGCCCGACACACGTTTTTTGGGGCGAGCCATAATTTATTTTTTACTTTTTAGTCCACAAGAAATACGTGTTTTTTTAAATTTTTTTTATTATTTTATTTAGTTTATTGCCATGGCCCCTGGTGTTGGTTCTTGTTTTAAATACTTGTAATCCTTCGGTGACCTTGTATAAACCATGAGCATACTTGTATACTTCAATGAGGTCCCCACGCAGACGTCGATAACATGCAGAGACTTGGAAGCTTCATAATCTTTCTTCATATGACTTTCACTTCAAGCCTGTAATTATCCTTGTTGCACATCTTTGAACATTCTCTATAAAATTTTTGTTCTTCAAATCTCGGTGATCACACGTTTCCAAACTCTAGATTCGGACGCACGACAGCAACAAACAATTGCTTCAACTCTTCTGCATCAAGGAACTCTTAGGAGCGCCTGATTACTCCAAGAAGTTTGTTGGATGCATTAGCTTGCGCTTCAACATGCTTTAAAAATTTCAGCTCCTTGTCGACATAAACTCCGAGATCTTTTTCCACACTAAACTTTTCAATCATTACTCTCTCGGGCAACCATGTCTTCTCATACTGTAATCTTGCTGTTCATTGTTCTTCCCGAGGTGAAGTATTTTACACTTGTCAGCATTAAACCCCAGCTGCCACGGATCAGCCCTGTTAACTAAACTGTCAAAATCATCTTGCAATTGCGCTTTATTTGACGCATCCTTCACTGTATTATAAACTTTTGTGTCGTCGGCATACATGGAGCACCCGCTGGACACTACTTATGGCAGATCGTTAATAAAAGCAACGAACAAAATAGGCCCGAGAACGCTTCCTTGTGGCACGCCACTGCGCACTAATGCCCAGTCTAACACGGTTTCGTTAATACTGACACGTTGTCGTCTACCTACTAGAAAATCTTAGAAAATCTTACCTACGTTCCACTCAATTCCCAAAGACTTCACTTTACGTAAAAGCCACTCATGCGGAACACTATCAAATGTTTTGGAAAAATCGAGGTACAATGCATCAACTGGCTCCCTTTCGTCCGCAACAGGCGAGTCCAATCGTTCAACGTAGACAATAAGTGAGTGTTGCAGGACCTACCGGCAATAAAACCATGTTGACAATCTGATGGGAAATGGTGAACAGTCAAGTAATCGATAATCCTATCCCTCACAACAGATTCCATTACCTTTTAAACAACACTTGTCAGACTGAAAGGGCGATAGTTACCGGGGCTACTTTTGTCACCTTTTTTGAACAATGGTGTTACTTGAGCTTCTTTCCATCGGACGGCAAAGTTCCTTCGTTCAAGGTTTTTTGAAAGAATACTGTCAATGGGCCGGCCAGAACGGCTGCTAATTCTTTGAGCAATCTGGGATAGAAGCCGTCTGGTCCACGTGACATGTTGGGATTTGGAGCTACGCAGGCACTTGAGAACCTCTTCTTCGTGTATTTCAAAATCTGTTAACTTCGTGCCGACTGGGCGCTCCTCAATATTTGGAATACTGTTCTAGTACTCATTTGTGTACATACTGCTGAAGGATTGATTAAGTACGTTAGCCTTGCGTTCATCGAAGAAAATTTTTCGTTGGTCTACTTTCAAATCAGATATACCGTTGTTTCTCTTACACTTCGAAGTTGCGTACAAAAAGAAGGCTTTCGGGTTCTTTTTTTCATTTTTAGCAATTTTTTTCGAAGTTTTTCACTGCAGTGCGACAGACTTTTTAGCTTGATTTCGAGCTCTTGCAAACAGATTATAATCAGAATCGCTGCGAGTTCGTAAATAACGCTTGTAAGCTTCCTTCTTGGTCTTTAGCTGAGCTTTAATAGTACTGTTCATCCACTGGGACTTTTTGACTCCTCCAAGCGTAATCTTAGGTACACAGGCAAAAAATGCAGACATAACCGTGTCATTGATAAATGGCCATGAATCAGCCACATTCATGTCCTACAGTCCGAAATATTCGCCGCATTCATCGCTTCACGGAATTTATCATAGGCGCCTTTTGCAAAGTTCAAACGTTCACTTTTCCGAAGCGTCTTTTCTGCACAGCACTTAAAACTGAAAAACAATGATTGGTGTTAGCTTTTGCCCAACGGAGCCTCGTGGCGAAGCTCATCTATAATTGATTCTTCACTAGAAAACACTAGATCTAAATATTGGGGCTCTGTTTGCCTCCTACACTGGGTTGGCTTGGTGATGTCATATTAAAAATGAGTCTCGCGCAGACTCCAAGAACAGGGATACTGGGTGATTCCCAGATTCATCTGCCCAATCTATTTCTGGATTGTTAAAGTCACCAACGAGCAACGTATGCGACCTGCTGAATTAAGTCATGCTCGGTATAAGGCTGTTTAGTACTTTATCGTTATCAGAGGAGCTGTTAGGTGATCTATTAAGGACCCCTGTGAGGAGGCTATCCTTGCTTTTAGAGTAAGTTTGCACCACACTGATTCCCTAGCTGATTGACCCTCTGCAGATACCTTAACTTGCTGTGCCCCATAAGATGTTCTAACCCACAGAGCTACGCCACTACTGAATTGCTCTTTATTTAAGTTATGAAAACAATCAAAACCTGGCAACTGAAATTCAACAGGTACAATTTCCCCCCGTGGTTTTTAGGGAGTGTTTCTGTTATACAAATAATGTCTATACACTCGTTTGCGATCACAGTTAACAGTTCACTTTTTTTGTTCAAAACGGAATCCGAGTTCGTGTAAAAATATTTTAAAACTTTTTGCGCACTTTCGCTTTGATGTATGCAGTCCGAACATAACATTAATTTGGAAGATTTCTGTTATTTCTTAGAAATAGGGTAGAAAAACTAAATTAACTAGATTGCGAGGCAACGGCGAAAGCTAGGCAGCGCTAATAAAATAAAATTATACAATTACACTGGTACGCCGTTATTTCAACAGAAATATTCAAGATATTGGAACCCTTACCACATATAGTGCGTGCACAGCGCTGTCGCACCAGTCGCAACATATTAACTGAAACGAATTTCGACCCACCAAGAGCTTGCCAACTTCTAGGTGTAAAATTTTCCGCTGTTAACGCCGTATCAACATAATGGCACATTCAGCACCGGGTAATTTCTTGAATTTGTGTCTCATTCTTCATCGAATTAGTAAACGCAGATTTTAGAAAACCTACTGAATTCTAATCATCCGATATTATTGCAGTAATAAATGACTACATAATGATCATATTACTGACCTGTCATGCATAAGCTTCCTCATGTAAAAACTGGCTATTGCAAGAAATATTTTTCTTCACGTGTTTATCAAGCTGAAAAAGTTTGAATTTTATTTGAATAATTCAATAATATTCAATGATATACGATTTTAAGGAACCATACGCCCCACCAATTCGCGGCGTCGTCATTTTCGCTCCCTTCGGCATCGCCACCCCCATTGTGGCTGTCGTCGCCATTGCCGCCATTGCGAGGAACAAAAGAGAAGAAGACGTGCCTAGCATCTGTGAATATTCATGAAAAAACATTAAAATATATTAGTATTCTCCGTTATTAGCATTCTAAATTTTGTGATATATTTTTTTCTTGGGGTTTAGTGAGATGAGAACCATTTTACACTACGTGGAAATCATTTCAGACTTGTAAAAATACTCTGAAATAAACTGTATAATACTTAAGGTTGATGGGAAATCAAGGAAATTTGAAACACCAGTTAACTATAGATTGTTAGTTAGAAAATAAACAAAGTTGTATCTGTTAATGGACTAGGCTGCCTCGTGTGGGATAAGTTTAAAATATATGACTAGAAAAATATTATTAAGAATGTTTCCATAAATTGATCAAGTCCCTGCAGGGAGTTCAAAGTAAAATTTTGAAACTCTATTCAACTCCAAGCTTATGAATCGATGCCTGTTGGAGCATAATTTTTAGACAATAATGACATGTACAATTTCGATGGGTGACAATGACATCGTGTATGTAGGAATCGACATAATATACACCTGTTGATTTTTTTGGGAAATTTTTTAATCGTAGAATAAATCCGAAAAAAACGAATTGAATGAATGTAAGTTGCAATTTTTTTCAAAAAACAGCAGGATTAAGTAAATTATAAGTTTTGTTTGTGTTCAATTTAATTTTCATAATCAGCAGGAGTAACCACAAAAAAGTGATTATCAAATTGTACAATCTTTGCATAGAAATTTGACTTATTGTATTGGAAAAAGATTTCTCATTATTATAAGTATTTTAATTATTTTGCAATCATTTTTTATGGTATACTGCGCTCTTTAAAATTGTCTATTCGATTTCACGGCTGATCATTTCAACTTAACGAATTTTCCATACCATTTTTAATCCATCTTCTTTTGTTTCAACATATCTCGTTTGAATTTTTATTGAGAATTATTTTAACATGATAAAAACCTGGAAATAATTGATGTTTTATTTTTTAAATTGCTTCTACAATCCCATTGCGAGATGTACAGACCCACCATGCTTTAGCGATCACCAGAAAGGAAGTGCTCCTTGCAAATGATTCTTTAATAATAGTTCATATTTGCTGGTGTTAAGAATTTTATCTTAAATTTCCTCATCATTTTACAATTCGTTTTCCTCGAGGAAGTGAACTTTTAATTGTTTGAATGTTCTTGTATTAATGAACTTTAGACTGCAGAAAATGTATAAAAACAAGTACAACGTACTTCTTATCTCGTTCTGACGCGAAAAGTCAAAACTTGGCGATTGGTCCGTCTAAACTTGATTAAATGAACACGTCTCCACTGTTACTTTAAGATATATTAAAACGGTACCAGTTTTATGATAGGAGTATTGGGGCATTGAAAATTTTATGTGCATCTATAGTGCATACTTTCTACAAATTATTGTGTCAATTAACGACCGCAATAGAATGGAATCATATACCTGATCGCTGAAGCACTATAATAACCCTAATTTTAGGATTCACAAAATAATAAAAGCATTAGTTGCTAATGTGGAATAACCAGCGATTTCGTTTAAGTGTCAATATAGTAGGTATAAATATTTTATCCCATCATAAACATTCCTCCACCTATTGAAGGGACACGGTGCATTTCTTTCGAATGTCCTAAGTTAATAAATAACTACTACTAATCTAATTATAATTCTATACATAATAACATGAAAGTAATTTGGATTTTTAGGCTGAAATACCTCTAATTCAAATTTCTTCTATTGAGAAAGCTCACTAGCTGGGCCGACGTGCGGAGAGCTGCACGGGCTCACAAACAATATTAATTCCTCACCGCACGCATTTCCAGATACTTGGTCAAGCGGGCATCCCGCAAGACGAACCTTATCGTAAAACTGTGAACTACACTCACACAAACAGATTAAAAACGAAAAGAAAATCCCGTGCATGGACTAACGACACTAAAACTCATCACGTGGTGTGACGGGAAACACAAATGAATGAAACTTACTGGGAGACTTGATACGTACTTGAGGTATGTGTGGAGAGAGGGTCACATAACAGAAAAGCAGTCTCTGCAGCAACGTCCCGTTACTATAATCAGGCTGGCCCAGTCAGCTGTATCATCAGAAGTAAATTGACTTGGATGTACTTCGGTCAAAAATCCAATATTGCCTTCACGTTATTATCTACATAAGAATAATTAGATAATTTGTAGTATTCATTCATTTACATCATTTTTAGATCTTTGAAAATAATGCACATGTCCATTCGGTGTAGGAATGTTCGTGATGTGAATAGATTATTTAAAATTACCAGTGACATACCTAAATGAAACCGCTTGCTATTCATGATTTGCAAATCATGCTGGCCTCACTGAAGCCTAGAAATAATACTTAATACTCAAGTACGAAAAAAACACTCAGTACGAAAAAAGCGTTTCAATACCCCGAAATTCCCGAAATAAAACTAATGGTGTTTTATTGTTTTTAAAAAATAACTGTGAACGCGTGTTCCTTGAATCAAGTTTAGATGGACCAATCGGCAAGCTTTAATTAACACGTTTTTCTTAGCTCGCTTTCGTGTCTGTGATGATCAAATCTTGCAATCGATATTTCACCAACTTTCCCAAACCGGAACAAAGAGAAATACTTACCGCCGAAATCGCCTATATCTACTTAAAGCATAGTCATGGTTACAATCACTACATCACGACTAAAAGGGAATTAGAAATAAAGTAGAAGTAGAAACCCTTTCTCTAATCAAAATGACGTATCCGGGATATCTGCACTAAGCCCTTCTACCTCTTCCAAACAGATTAACAATGCCTCAAATAATGAATTGCCACCTCCTTCAATCTTGCCTAATGAAGTCAGACCTGGAGGTAACTCACTCGAATCTCTCAGTGACTTGCTCTCTTCAATAGGACATACAATGCGAGACATGGTATCAGCTGCCTCATTATCTTTCCCTGGTCGGTATCTAATGACAAAGTCAAATTCTGCAAGTTCATTCAAAGTGCGCATTATTCTGGAATTTTCCCTTGCCAAATTATGCAAATATATTAATGGTTTGTGGTCGGTAAATAAAATGAATGGTACTGCAAACAAAAAAGCTCTAAAAGTTTGTACACCCCATCTAATTGCCGTCAATTCTCGTTCGATGGTCGAATACCGTCTCTGAGTTGCAGTAAATGTTCTAGATGAATATGCTATGGTTCGGTACCCTCCCTTTTGCCTCTGCATCAAGCATGCTCCGGCACCTACACTACACATCAACATACAATTCTAAACGTTCTGCTGACTCTGAATAAATGGGGAATCTAAGAGCTACATCATTCAACAAAGCATCTTTCAATGCATCGAATGCATCATTCATCTTTGGAGTCCAACTTAACACTTCTTTCTTTGGCCCTCCCGTCAATTCTGTCAATGGCTTTGCAATGATTGAACACTTTTCTATAAATTTACGTTGAAAATTTACTAATCCCAGAAACTGTCTCAATTGCGTAACTGTAGTAGGTTTAGGATAATTCCTAATCTTGTCAATGAATTCTGGCGATTTTCATATCCCTTCTGCTCCTATCACGTGCCCCCAAAAATAAACAGATCCCTTAAAAAACTCACACTTCTGGACTTTAATTTTGATACCATTCTTACTTAGTGTAGTAAGGACTTTCTTTACTAGTACAAGATGTTCTTCGAATGTTTCTGTCATAATGAAAATATCGTCAATATAAACAAGACGTCACAGAAGCTTCCCGATCTAATAAATTTATTCCGTTATTAACCAAAACCTTAATGCGACACAAACTTTTACCAGCCACACTATCAATCATTGTCTGAACATCAGTCAAGTTAATCTCAAGTGGTACACACATGAAACTAGCTGGATTAAGACATGAAATATTCACCTGACAGCTTTGAGACTAACCTGAACATTGTGGCGTCTTATTGTCACTCACAGGTCAATTAGGCACTATATAGGGGACTGCTGTCGTGTGGTTCCGAGGGCTGTGCAACAGCAGGCACAGGCTCGTACTGCTGGCGGTCGTGTCTCAGGTTCGAGGTCTGTCGGAAATGCTCCTTATCTTGCTCAACTCGGGCAGTGCGATGTTCCTTGCTGTTCGTATCACCATTACTGTGGTCGTTACCACAGTTGCCGTTGTTAACTTCGTTCTGGTTTGCTTCATCCACTAGAGCTGAAAATCTATTTAGCCGTGGTCCGAGGATGGTTTACGTTCACGCTCCGGCTTTACCTCCTTTGAGCAGGAGCGTTGGAGTTTAACGGTCTCCTTGCATTCAAGTTATCACTGGCTCTACGGTTTGAAACCTCGTTCACCGGATGGCGGTCGTGCGGTGGTTGTGATGCTGTTAGGCGTTCGTTCTCACTTCTGGCTCCACGAGGTCTATACGCAGGGCATTGTCGTACATAATGATCGGAGGAGCCACAAATAAAACACTCTCCTCTCAATTTTCTGCACTCGCGAGCATGATGACCAATGCGTCCACAGAGTCGGCAAGCTGAACCGCCACGTTCAGGAGCAGAAGGCAAACAAGCTTGAAGTCTGCGTATATTCCTGGACTCTGTGTTCTGCGGGCTCCTTGACGATGACATGGCGGAACGATATGCTGATCTTGTAGATGTCATATCTCTGCTAGGAATCAAATCGGAGACCTGATCAGATGCACCGCTCTTCTTAGTCTGATTTAAATTGACAAGCATTTCTGGCATGGCTTCGCAGTTTCTGGCTTCCTTGGCACTCTCGATGTCGAAATGACGCGCACACTTCTTAACAAGTTCCCACGTGAATTTCTCTCCTTTCATGCTGTGACTCAATTTTAGCGATTTCAAGGCCTTCTTAAAGTTATTGGGGACACAGTTCGTGAATTTATCCATCAGCTTCTTGCTTTGGTTCACCTTGCGTCGCGGATAAGCTAGCCGGTACAAGCGCTCGAGGCGATCACAAAATAGATGAATCGGTACTTCTTTGGTACAGCGAGCCTTGGTAAAGTTCATTTCATTCTTCTCGCGGCGCAACTCTTTTACATCCTCATTCCAGTCGCTTAGTTTCCTCTTGACATCGTTGTAGGAGTCATCAACTTCTCTCATAGGCTTGAATGCTCCCTTCAAATTCAACTCAAGCTGACCGATCCACATGTCTCTGTCGCCTCTGAAGTTGTTCTCGCAGAAGGTTTCGAAGCGATGCAGATATGCCTTCAAATGTTGCCCTGAACCATGCCAACACGTACATTCTAATCGTGCCAACACATTCTAACCATGCCAACACATTTAACCATTCCCCAACCATACCTTGGGATTTCACATGATCAGCATTCTTCCTCTTGATGTTCCTCTTCTTCAACACGATCTTTTCATCCGACGAACTGCTGTTCTCTCCGCTGCCCTCTATATCACACCCTGAGTAACTCGCTTCATCACTGGCGAAACTCTTCTCGGCTTCGCACTCTTCTTCACTGGCACTGTTCTTTTCACGTGGTTGGGTAACTCTACTAACACGTTTTTTCGGCACCGCTCCGCCTCGTTCCCAATCGACAGCTCCCGCACTCACATTGCTTGCTTTCTTCTGTGTCGTCGTTGAGCCACTGGTCACACCTAAGCTTAGAAAAGGACACCATGCATCGCGAAATTCTTGTAATCGAGTTTTAGACGACAATGGCAACCTATGTTCCACATTTTTAAGATTGGTCAAGAATTTGCCTATGTTTACCAAGTTATCCTCGATAAAATTCTCCACTAAGTCCTGGCTTAACAATTCGCCATTTTCCTTAAAAGTTGGCGGCAAGGCACAAACGCTATCCATATTTAGTGTGAACGTGCAAAGAAAATACCACAAGATAGGGCGGAAAAACACTTCTTAAATTAGGTGGTCAAGCCGAGCAAAAGGAAAGCCTCCGTGTAGTTTTCAAATGAAAAAAATAAATGAATGCACCAATGAACACTTAAAATACAATTTCCACAACACTTTCACGATCACAGGTCACTGCACAAGTCACGGTACCATTTATGTTGGGCCCGTTGGGGCTCTCAGAACACCCAACTAGCAACTAGCCTACATGATCGTATAGGTTCTGCATATTGATGAATACTTATAAAACACTTTATTAACACACTTTCAAATGAACACAATTAAATACTCAATAATTAATATCAGCACATTAACACTACACTTCATCTTGGATGCTTTTCTTGTGATACTAAGTCTTGACTTTAGTCTAACTCTTGGATTCGAGTCTAACTGTAGATTTGAGAACTATTGCAAGGTCTGAGATTTGAGGAACAAGCTATTGGTCTGAGATTTGAGGCTTTCCTACAAAAGAAATAAATAAAAGAAGAAAGTACACTCTAAACTAAAATGACTATATAAAATTCTGGGTAATGAAGAACTTATACCATGAGTACACCTATAGTTAAATAATAATGATTTCTATCCCTTACAGCCAGGTTTGGAGTTTCGCTGCTAATATTTGCTGTTATCTTAATATCGTAAGATAATTAACTGTAGCGTCCACCGTTTGAATATCATTATGCACTTCATAACTGCGGAACAACTCAAATTATCACTTCGTATGATGTCTCACACCATCTAATGTTTGAACCAGCTTGCCATTTTTAGGAGATAACTACTCAATATGTGACCCAGTTCCATCACAACTATAAAATCGTGATTTTTAAAGCCGTTTGCGATCCTTCAAATTTTGAATCTTGAAAATATTAAATTTATAAAACATCAATATTATTCAAATCTTCAAAATATGGAAATATTAAAATGTAACAGACAGCATTGACAGAAGTATTTATGAGTGCTACATGCCGGGTAGTTACAAACAGGAAAGAAAAGACGAATTTCGAACATTATATATTTGTGAAATCGTAAAAAATACTCTCCAGTTAGTTTTTTTTAATGTAAAATGATTTTTGGACCGTTGAACTTAATGCCATCTCAAGGTATGTACGTTTCTTTCGTACCTGGAACAGTAGTTTCGGTAAAATATATATTCTGCTGATGGTCCTAATTTTTAAAGAGTAGAAAATATTTTTATTTTGGCACGGGAAAGGCTAGCATTTCTTCATCAGTCGTGTAAGGCAGATGTGGTTTGAAGGTCGCTTGATTGCAGCTGCTAGCGAGTGTTACATTCAACAACACTAAAATCAATTAAGATCAAGCTGAATAGAAATTAACAGTTGACGATTCTATGCAGAAAGCGCCGGAGTTATCCAATTTATGTTATTTGCTATATAACAAATATGACAGAGAACTTATTCATCAACAAATATGCAACATTATATGACAAAAAGATATGACGATAATTCGAACATATAACGAAATACAGAAACCCATAGTAACGTTCAACCGTTTGAACTTTCTACACCGACTTAGTGCAGCCATCGTTCTTTGTCCTCACACCTTAAATAATTTCCTTCCCTCATAAAACGGTTTATATTTTTGTCTTCCTCCTCACAACCTCCTACAGACTCTTCTCGGCCTCCTTTCAGCCAAAATTATCCTTTCAACCTCATTTATACTGCCTATATCAACATTTCAACCTCGTTTCATACTCCATTCAACCTTCCCCTAACCACGTTTCAAACTGAATTCAACCACTACTTAACTGAGCCTCAAATCTCAACCGTCAACCAGAGCGACCAGCATCTTCTTGTAGTCTCCAATACCCGGGTGAAATACTGATATATTTTTTGTCCATCCCTTTCATTACTACTGTGTTGAATCTTCCCGGTGTTTAATTAATGCATGCTTGTTAGCTGTAAGGGAAATTCACCCATTGTCAGATCTTTATTGTGGTCAAAAATTATTTCTTGTTATACGGTATAATGTTACCGGTAAAGTTGGCTACCGTGTCGCGTGTGTTGACGTGGCATCACCGGGTTGAAGTCAGCGTTAGGATACCATTCATTATTTCGTTGAGACTTGGTCGGAGCGCACCTTCCTTTCACTGTGCTCTAGTGACTGTGTAGCGTCCCTAGTAGGTGAGTTGCAGTGGAGATATAAGATAGGCTAATTCTGTGTTGTAATTCAGCTTTTGAACTTATCAATAAGTGTTGACCAACCCGCTAATTTGAATTGAATAACTGTTAATTAATAGTGTTGTGTATTTATCTGCGTAACTAGAGTAGCTCACCACCATTGTTTTGCAGGATCGATTTCTTGCCTGGTCAACAAGTACGGCTCCTACGTAGGCCGACGACTGCGGTGCTTCTAGGGAAGTGTCCGCCACATTCAAGTTTCTACCGGTCCAGACACCTACTGCGTGTTTACTCACAGCTGATGCTGTGCATCTTGTTGAACACTCCTTACTGTACTGTGTGCCGTCAGCATATAGTGTCATCTGTGTATTGCCTTCAGCATAGTGTTATCTGTGTATTGCCATCAGCATATAGTATTATCTGTGTATTGCCTTCAGCTTATAGTGTCGTCTGTGTATGGCCTTCAGCATATAGTGTCATTTGCGTGTTGCCTTCAGCATATTATGTCCTAAGCTTATTGTGCCTTCAACATATTGTTTATAAAGTTACGTATATTTTCAGTTCCGTGTTCGTATGTTTTCAGTTCCGAATATTTTCAGTTCCGCCTATTATTCGTAGTTATCTGTTCATGTTATAAACTGTTAATTAGTTAAAGTGTTCTGTTACCTAGTCATTATTGTTGTAGTTGTCTCTGGTTAATAGATACTTGTTTATTTGGCTTTCATTTTTCCTTTGTTGAGGTTCGGCGGTAGTCGTGGGCTCAAATTTATCGAATCTATTTGGAGTCGTCCTGATTTGAACTTTACATTAGCCTTCCAGGTTCGCTTGACCGGAGATTCTTTCATTGACGCGCCAAACAAACCAGCTCGTCGAAAACCCCGCTACCTACTGAACTAAAGAATCAATCGAGATATAAGTTTCGATAACTCAAAGGAAAGATAGAGTTGATTGTTGTTGTGAATAAATATTAAAGTAATACAACTATTCTTCAGTGATACCCCTTCCATAAAATAAATCGAAGATCTATCAT